CCCCTGTCCATGAAGACAGCATTTCTAATTGCCATCACCTCAGCTAGGCACGTAGGAGAAATAGCGGCCCTGGTGGCACATCCATCATTCACAGTCTTTTTTTTTAAGACAAAGTAACTCCAAGGCCATATCCCAAGTTTCTCCCTACTTTCGCTGCACTTTCCATATGAATCAACAGATCCATCTCCCTGTTTTTTCCCAAAACCACATTATGACAACTGGGAGACAATTGTGCATATGCTAGATATTAGAAGGACATTAGCATTCTACTTGGACAGGACTAAAGACTTCAGGAAATCCCCTAAACTCTTCCTTTCATCCACAGAAAGATACAAAAGCTCTGTGATATCCGCTCATAGACTATCCAAATGGGTCTCTGGTTGCATTAATCAACTTATCAAGGGTGCAACTTGCTTCCATCCAGAGTCCATACACACTCCACGAGGTCCGTTTCTACCTCAATCACATTCCGTAGGGATACCCTTATCTCAGCAATCTATAGAGCGATGACTTGGGCCTCTGCCCATACTTTCGCAGAACATTATGCGATCACTGAAGATTTGGCCACTGACTCCATCTTTGACTCCACAGTACTCTTTGTAGTAAAAGACTCCACTCCGAAGTCCCAGCCTCTAGTGGTGGATACTGCTCAGGAGTCAGCTACAGTGGAGCACCCATAGGGACACTACTCAAAGAAGAAGAGGAAGTTACTCACCTTGTGCAGTAACGATGGTTCTTTGAGATGTGTGCCCCTAGGAGTGCTTCACAACCCGCACCCTCCCTTCTACTTCGGAGTTCTCAATAGGGCTCTGCGGTAGAGAAGGAAGTGAGGGGGGGTTGCCCGTGCAGTGCTAAATAGCCTCGAGGCAGACCAGGAGGGAGGGCGTGAGGGCACATGCGCGGGCTCAATGGACACGGCTACCAAAAATCTCCTATTAGAGGCGCAGGGGCGCACATACACCTACAGTGGAGCACCCATAGGGACACACTCCTCGAAGAACCATCATTACTGCACAAAGCGAGTAACTTCCTCTTCTTGCTTCTCTGCCCCTTCCCCCCAGAGCCCAGCTGGGGAGCCAGACACTCACCCCCACCCCAGAGACCAGCTGTGGGTCCCCCGGCCCAGACACTTACACCCTCTACCCCTTAGAGCCCAGCTGCAGCTCCCCACCCCGGCCCAGACACTCACAGACCCTACCCTCCCAGGGATCCAGAGGGAGAAACAACCTGATGCAGGGTCCCAGGCTTGCACAGAGTTTCCTGAGTGCTGCCTCCTTCCTTCAGGGTATGCTGGGAACTACAGCTGCTGGGAACCCTCCAGTTCCCTCCCTCTCCCCCCCAGCCTTGCCTTCTATTTATGAGCTGGGCTCTGCTGGATCCAGCAGCCCCTAGTGGTGGCCAACATCTCTGCAGCCCATTTCTATGTGGGGAAAAAAGGAAATTCTGAGTGCCCAACATTAATTTCTGCAAAATTCTGCATTGTGCAGTGATGCAGAATTCCCCCAGGAGTAAACTGTGAGTAACGTTAGCACAAAATCAAAATGGTGTCCATTTTTAAATGGACTTTCTGAGGTAAAATTTGACCCAAAACTAAGGCCTTGAACAAGTGTCATTTTTTACAAAACCCAAGAGAGTAGAGAGGTTTCCATCATTTAGCCCCTTAACATTTTCAGTGGAAACTATATTTTTCTTGTTGAAAAATCCAAATCGAGTCTCTGCTCAGGTTTGACTTGGAATGTTCCAACTCAACGTGAAGTTCACCAACTGATTTATAAACTCAAGAAAATAGTCTTACAATGGAACATCTAGATCCAAGATTCTGAGGCTGGCACCAAAGTTGTCCCTGGAAAATCTGCACGCTCCACAGTTACATATGAAAATACAGGATTTCTGTGCACATTTGTTGCATGTGCAGGTGCTACATGTTTACACTGCTGTACACATCTGCAAAAATTTTGCAGAAATAACTTTGACCCTGGACTTAAAATAATTGGTGTCTGGTCCTTAGCGTATTGCTCCCAATACAGCCCAAGAGGTGCATTTTATAGCTTAGCTAGGCTGCAGCATTTTGGTTTATTTCAGGGGACATGAGGTGAAGCTGCAAAGAGTATTGCTGTCTTACATGTATAGGTTGTCTGTGCCTGGAGTTATTCAGGAATAGCTGTTCCAGAATAGCTCCATGTGTAGACGAGCCTTATTTTGGTAATTCCCCTTCAAACCATCAATTTTGCTTTGCGCAGGTGTGATTGGCATAGGGCATTATTGTAGTCAGCGGGGCTTCTCAGAAGAGGTGAGAAGATCAGTAGCCAAATTGGTGCCACTGACACGCAGGTTATGGCAGATGACCAAGATCAAAATGTTACCCACTCCAGCCAAGTTCCATTATGTCTTCAATCTACGAGATCTCTCAAGGATTTGGCAGGGGATGCTAAATACCGTATCGGAAGTAATCAGTGAACCTAATGTAAGTAACATACAGCTTTCTTTCATGAAGTTAGCATTTTAAGTAGCAATGGGATGAAGACTATAACTGATTCTTTGGTGGTTCAGTATAAAGTAGGAAGCCTCTGTCTCTACTTGTTATCACTTTTCTTATTAAATTGTAAGCTCTTCAGTGGTTTTGTTCTGTGTTTGTACTCTGTCTAGGACAGTAGAATCCTGTTCCATATCTGGGACGCCACGGTGCTTCCTCAATACAAATAATAAATAATAAGCATCAGTGATGAAACAATACTGTGATACTGAAGGCTAAATTGCTAAGTTGCCAAAGGATTTTATGGACATACAATGTAGCAAAAGAACAGAAACCAGTTTGTTACACTGTCTGCATCAGTTTTGTGGTCTGTTTTACTTACTGATAAATGTTAACTTATTTCAATTTTTAAAATTCTGGAGAAAAATCAAGCTTTTTAAAATATTCAATTTTATAAACATACATAGCAGCAAGCTATTCAGTGTATTAATGACAAATAATTTTGTTCTTAAGGTATAGGATGCCTTGAGGTTTTCAAACCATGTAATTGGCCGAAAGCTGATTTTTGGCTTAAAGCTATAAGGATATGTCTATACTTCAGTCTGAGGTGTAGTTGCAGCATGGGCAGACATACCCATGCTAGCTTTATCTGTACTCGCACAGCTAAACATAGCAGTGGAGAAACAGCAGCACAAGCGTCTGCATGGGATAGCAATGCCTGTAAATACCTGGGATCCCCAATATGCTTGTCCAGCCCCATCTGAAGGCTGTACCAGCACACCTATCCTTTTATTTCTAGCTGTGCTAGTGTGCGTACAACGAACATGGGTATGTCTACCCATGCTGCAGTCATGCCCAAGATTGCAGCACAGACATATCTTAAATGGAAGAGGGAATAACACTGGACTGTAACAAGTCTTTCTGTATTTCATTACTGTACGTTCCACACTCCTTGTGAAAAATAAGATACTTGACGTAAATATTTCCCTCTGAATTTTTCAATTTTCCTTTCGAAAAGTCAATTTTCTTTAATACTGAAATATAAAGTTGAGTCTTCAATGCAGTGCAGATGAATCATTATCCAACCATCTCCACTGATGGTGCTGTCAGAAGTAGCATATAAAAGTGTGAACACCAGCTTATGAACGAACACGTATGATTTGTGAGTGGGAAATAGATCTGTTAGCAAACTGGGTAGTCAGCTATTGAATTTGCTTGTAAAAATATGTTTGGCATTCATAAAGTCTGGTTTTGGCCATGCAATAATTGGACACATAATTATGTAGTTTGGGAGGCTAGACTGAGGCTTCATCTAATACTTTGTCCTGAATGTGAAGTGTCTCTTTTTTTTGTAAACTGGACATACACTTAAGCTGAGATGAAGCTGAATCAAAGTCTGACAAAGAATACTATTTCAGCTTCCCTTGTAAGGAGTAAAGCATTACTTTGTATTGTCTAGAGGTAACGCGATACTGTACGGAACAATAGTGACAAAACTCTAACCTTGCTGAGATATGGCTGTGAAGAGCACAAGTTCCTCTGTTCAGGGCCAGCTCTGACTTTTTTGCCGCCCCAAGACAAAAAAAAAAAAAAAACCACGGTGCAGGGTGGCCGGACCCGGAGGCAAAGCCAAACCCCGCCCCCCCAACAACAAAAAAACCCGCGCAGGGCGGCTGGACCCGGAGGCAAAGCAAAAAAAAAACCACCCCAGGGCAGCCGGACCTGGAGGCAAAGCAAAAAAAATAATAATAAAAAAATAGGGCAGCCGTGCCGCCCTAAGCTTGGACGGAATGCTGCCCCTTAGAATCTGCCGCCCCAAGCACGAGCTTGCTTGGCTGGTGCCTGGAGCCGGTCATGCTCTGTTACAAACTTAATGAATTGAGATTTTTGTTTTGTGAACAGGTGTTGATAAAGTTGTGGAAGCATGAATGTAAGTGTGTTATTGCTGATCGTTTCACAACCCCAGCGGATGTAGATTGGTTTGATACAGCTTTGGCAAAATTGGTTGAGGAGGAGTTCGGTGAAGAGAAAAAGGCTTTAGTGGATTCGGAAACTGATGCTTACTTTGTTGACTTCTTAAGGGATCCACCTGAAGCAACAGGTAACTACAGAAACTTGATGCAAGAAGAGATAATGGTGTTCTGGTAATTTATCACAATGGGTGTGGGGAGGGAAATATACAGTAAATGCTTATGCAGAAAAGACTTCAGAATGCATATTATAAACACCCTTCAGTGCCTAGCCAGCTCTTCTGGTTAGTTCACAGGGCCATGGTCCCAACTCTTGTCTATCCTTTTTGTGGTAGCTAATGTTGCCAGTTGCATTTATGCCCAGCGCCCATGTAGGGATAGAAGTGGAGAGCAGATAATCTGTATAATGGCTGGGCATAATCTGGCACATGGGGTCTGTTGCAAGCATAATGCTATAATGGTGCAATCCAGAAGGATGTTCTGTAACATGAGTCCAGTATATAGTAACCACTGATGATTGCAATACTTGAACTAAAACTGTATAAATAGTTATTACACTTACTAACCTCTATCCCGCCCCCCAACTAGTACACAAAAAAGCCCAATTTTGACTAATCCATTAATGTCAGGTAAATGTAATTTACCTGCAACCATTACTGATGTGTGTGGCCTTCAGTGTTTTCTTGTTACATTACTAATGACTCCTATTAAATTGTCCTTTTCACTTGTTGCATAGTCTCTCCTACGTGTTTCAAATCAAAATAACATTTTACATCTTATTTACACAATAGTTATTTTGGTATTTGTATTATTTATAAAATACCTATTTTCTTTCACTTGCTTTGTTCATTTTTTCTCTTGCAAGAAAAGTTATGCATAATGAAGGCCTATTCATTAGGTACTATTTTGTAAGGAAGCTAAATTGCTTTACAGTGCAATTGAAGTAGTTCAAAAATGGGCAAATGATACAATTTTGTGTTCTGTTTCATTGTGTTGTATGAATTGCTTTGGTTTTGGGAAAGGCCATTATTAAACTATTTTGAGGTCAGTCAGCTACTCCCCTCCTCATAAATGATGGATACATAGAGGTACCACAATGACTAGAATAAACCAAGTAATGCTCTGAACCAATGCTGGAAAACAGACTCCTAAATGATATGGCAGGTGAGAGCAATAAGGAAGAATTGTGCAGAAAAATGTATGAAAGGAGTAGAAAATATAGACCCTGATTTAGGAAAGTGCTCAAACATGTGCTTAAATATTTTGTTGTATTGGGAACACAAAACACAGGGAATAGATGAAGAATGAGCAAGAAAGAAAAAAAAATATGTAGTAGAGTACAAGAGATGGATTTTGATTTGTACATTTAACTTATTAATTATGATAGTGCCTGATGGCCAACCAAGAATGGGGCACCATTTTGCTATACATTTTGTGGTAGACAGTCCTTGCCTTGACACTTGTTTTTGCATCAGCATACATTGTATGCAAGCTGAAAACTTGTACTTCTTTGAGTGCTGGTACCTGTGTGTATTACACTGTGAGTACACATGAGCACAGAGTCAGAGAATTCTTGAAAGCCGTGTCTGTTGGGTCATGCATGCGCTGTTGCCGTCCTCTTGCCTCCAATTGAGGAGATAAAGGGCAGAGTGGACTGACCGCCTCTATAGTTCCTTCTTATCACTGCATGACCTGGGTTGGAACCTCCAGTGTCTAGAGTTTCATCTTCCTTTAGTTTTGGATCTGTACATACATATGTATATATTTTTTAAATTGGACAAGGTACAAGTCATCCCCATTGCCTCCAACTGGCCCAGACAGTTCTTGTTCCCGAGTCTCATACATATGTTATCTTGTTCCTGAGTCTCATACACATGTTATCTTGGTCAATGATCAACATTCAGTCCTTTTCCAATCTCATGACCCAGGGAAAAGACAGAATCAAGCATCTTAACCCCCAAGCACTCCATCTCAGGGTGAGGTGTTTGGATGGATGTCAACTCTCGAACGTTCATGCTCTGAAGCTGTGCAAAGCATCCTTACTAACAGTAGAAAAGATTCCACTAGAATATTCTACTTAGTCAAGTGGAAGTGTTTCTTTGTCTGAGCACAACAGAAACCCATGAGTTGTGGGTATTCCCCTTATTCTGGACAATCTTCTTTCTCTCAGAACAGCTGGGATCCACCTGGCACCAGTGAATGTGTACCACTCATCTTCTCATGATTATTCAATTTTTGCTCACTTACCGACTACTAGATTCTGAAAGGTCTAATCAGAGCCTTTCTGTCAGTAAGGAAATCTGCTCCTCAATGGGACTTAAACCTTATTCTTTTGGTGCTCTCTTAACCTCCTTTTGAACTACTAGCTACATGTTTCATTTCTCTTCTGTCCATGAAGGTTACATTCCTGATAGCCATCAACTCAGCCAGGAGGGTGGGTGAGCTTGGAGCATTGATGATGGATCTGCCTGACACCATATTCCATAGAGACAAGGTGTCATCGCATTTACATCCGAAGTTAACCCACAAAGTAGTTTCAGAGTTTCACTTATACCAGTCACTTCACTTGTGTTTTTTCTGAAACCACACGCATTGGAAGAAGAGAGGAGACCTCATTCCCTCAACATGTGATGAGCCTTAACCTTTTACCTGCGAAAGATAAAGGCAATCAGAAAAACTCCCAGACTGTTTATTGCTGTAGCGGAAAGAGTTCAAGGTCAAGCTATATCCTCTCAGAGGATCTGCAAATGGATCCTCTATCTATCTATCTATCTGTCTCTGCTATTAGCTGTCTAATTGTCCTCCCCCTCATGGGATGAGGGCTCATTCTAGAAGAACACAAGTGATATTAATGGCATCGCTTCAAGAAGTGACATTTGACATTTGCAGAGCAGTTGCATGGAGTTCCATCCACACATTTGTGAGACAATATGATTTAGTATAGGACTCCTCCACTGATGCATCTTTTGGGATGGCCGTACTTCAAATGACTTTTCTGCCTGCATCCTGGCAGCCTCCTCCTTCTTCAGTACTGCTTGTCAGTCACCCAGAGTGGAATACACATAGGGACCAGCAATCAAAGAAGAAGAGAAAGTTACTTGCCGACTGTGTAATAACTGGAGGTTCTTCGAGATATGTGGACCCTGTCTGCCCTCCTTCCCCTCTGCTTCAAAACATTCTTGGATTTATGGTAGAGAAGGAACTGGAGGAGAGGTTGGTCTGCTCAACCCTTAATCTCCTTGATCAGAGGCACGAGGAGAGCGAGTGTGCCTGTGTGGACCAACTGACACTGTTTTCAAGAGTTCTACAATTGCGTGCATGAAGTGCATGAGTACACAGTGGAATACAAATAGGGACCACACATCTCAAAGAACCTCCAGTTACTATAAGGAAAGTAACATTCTCCTTTGTGAAACAAAATGCAAGTAAAGAGAGGAGACTGTAGGACGTAAGGCTATGAAGTGAACATTTAAAATCCTAGTCAAATGGGTCACAAGACTCAGCTTTCTCCCTCAGACCAGGGCCTTAGAAGCAGTGAGGACAGTCAGCTGTTTCCTGCTATATTGGAGTGTAAGAACAGGAATTGAGTTTGGATGTTGCATGGATTTTTTTTAGGCCTGTCGATTAATCACAGTTAATTCCTGCGATTAACTAAAAAAAAGAATAATGATTAAAAAAATTAATTGTGATTAATCACAGCTTTAATTGCACTGTTAAACAATAGAATACCAATTGAAATTTATTTAAATATTTTTGGATGTTTTTCTACATTTTCAAATATATTGATTTCAATTACAACACAGAATACAAAAACAACAAAGAGTCTGGTGGCACCTTAAAGACTAACAGATTTATTTGGGCATAAGCTTTCGTGAGTAAAAACCTCACTTACTCAC